AACAGAAAGAAAGGGTTTCTTTCTTTATTCCATTTTTAAATCCCCAAATGTCAATTCAATCTTTTTTTTTTGTTTGTCATTCCATGTGAATTGTAGCATTTATCTTCAATACATCCGCACATTAAGTAATGCTTCTCTGACAATTAGATATGTAGGATACTCATGTTGTTACATAGCAATAGTTGTCATACAGAGCAAAATACAGACCAGTGTTGTATTTAAAGAAAGGCATTGGGCCAAAATGATCTTTAGTCCTCCATCTTTGAAGCTCTATAATATAAATAGTTCCTCATTTGGTGTTTGATGAGGAGTCGAACACATCAGAACAAAATCTCCACTATATGTTAACGCAATTGTGACTCTATTCCGTATAAGTCACATAGTTTATATATTGTGCTGAATTGTTTGGTGTTGGCCTTTTCATTAATATTACCTGTCTGACTGTTGTGGTTTTTTGTGGGGGGGGGGGGTCAGAATACAAAGTGAACACCAGAGGGAGCTCTCCTATGAGCAGTTTCAACAAAGAATGCTGCCACCACTCTTGCACAATCAGCATCAACCACCTTAAAGGTGAGAATCAGTTTCAGAGCTCACTAGAGGAAAACAGCAGCAGTAATGTTGGCTGCCTGTGTAGCAGGTTATGAGGAAGGTCAAACATCCCAACAGACAGATAACATCACCACAAGGTATCTGATTTCACTTCATCCTGACTTTAGGACCACGTTTGTTAGAAGGTTTCTAAAAGCCTCAAAACACCCCGTGGCTTCACCTTGTTTCCTGGAAGTCTGTAAATATTTATCATATTCCCAGTCCATCCCACACAAACATAGTTTTGACCCAGAGCATGAAAAATAACAAATGTTCACCACCTCCCAAAGCTCCCACACGTCTGCTCATGCCCTGTGGCCTATCCAAACCCACTCTTACACATTTAAACAGCAAATGGATTTTTATCAGTGTAAACAACAGCTGGAGGCTCTAAATGCACCAAGAAAAAAAAGGCATCTTCAGTGATTGTGCTCTGGTGTTTTTGACAAATTTACAGATAGAAAGCAACAAATCATCCCCAGCCAAAGCTGAAATTCACAAAGGAAAGAAGAAATAATGAAGAACACCAATTTCAATTTCATGATTTCAAAAAGTGAAGGTCTTTATCCTGGAGTGATTTATTTTTTTCTTTGGTGATGAAGATCAGGTACCACATGTGACTCAGCTCCTCCAAACACCACAGAGAGCCCGAGCCTTTTCTCCCCCTTCAGACTCCATTATAATGTCATCTAAATAACACACGTGGTCCATTATAGTGATCAGATAAATCACCTGAATGGAAGACATTCAGCACAGTCTTCCAGCTCATCTGTGGCTCTCGGTGGGCAGATGTTAACATTAAGCCCTGAAAGAAGAGGGGAGAACAGAGGGGGATGGCTAATATGCATAATCCTACCTCCTGATGTTTCTATCAAGAGGCACAGAGAGCGATGTTCGTTATACAACTAAAGCCTCACAGCACAGAGAGCAGGATCTTCCCCCAGGTTCCTCACTAAGCCCGACTCTTGAGTTGCATTGATAACCAGCCTACGAGGGTATCAAAGGAACAAGGCCTTTGTGATAAGTAATGGTTGCAGCCACCCAGACTCCCGTTTGGTCATTTTGTCAGAGGGAACAGAGCACAGAGAGGGTCACTCGTGTGCTTTATGTTCAAATACACACTATAGTCACTCACCCCTACAGCACCTTTGCAATGATAAATGAGTGGTGTGTTTTTTTCCATAGCCTGTAAACTGTAATGAGCTGTCATCTGGCAGGTGTCAGAGAAGATGCTCTGATTTAAATAGCTCACTCTGGGGAGACAAAGGGATCACAGAACAATACAAAGATTTGGTGGAGGCTGATTTCATGAAGATTTTTGTAAAAACATGCCACACGCGACACTGAAAGCAACGGGAAACATTTTGTCATGGAGCCCTTTATTGTTTTTCTCGGGAGGGAAATGAAATTGAAATTGTCCTTAAATTAACCCCTGCTGTAATGTCTGCTGTTGGCTGATACAAAATAAGCAGGTTCCAGTTTTATTTAGTAAAAATACTCGACCGTGCCTTGAAGACTACGAATCACTCTTGGTTTTATATTCATGGTGAATAGACTAACATTAAATAATGTCTTTGTACACATTTTCAGATTTTGTAAATAAATAAATCTGGGTACATTTGTGAGTTATTTCCTATTCTTGTAAGACTGTATGTTTATGATAGTCCATATGATGTATATACACATTATATGGATCCTTGGAGACTTCTTTCCTAAGGCAGAATCATATTTCCTTTTTAAGCTTTTTAATTAAATTGTGTGTAAAATTTGGTGCAGTACAATGAGTACTATTTTTTGCTGTAATAAGTGATACTACGGCTAAAAATATCCACTGCTTAAAGATATAATTAAGTCAAATCTTCAAATTTCAATTATTTCATGTCAAAGGGGGAAAAATGCTCCCTGCACATCGTTGTGTTTGTCAGTATAGACTCACACCTCTTGACTGTGACAATAAAAATTACTTCATGCGAACAGGACTCTCGGGACTAATGCAGTCACTGCTACTCAATACAAATCCAATACCAGTGATTTCAAACCCAAACTCTACCTTGTTCTCTACCAGCCTACATTTTCTGCTAAAGTGGCAAGAGGTTAAAACACAATGAGTAACAGTAAAAATTGATTATTATTATTATTATTCTAGCAAGTCATTCAAAGGTGGTGCAGTGAGAGAATAATAGATGAGTTCTGATTATCATCTCCTAAAACTGCAAAAGAGACTTCTGACACTTTCTCTCAATGGACAAAATCTTCCAGTCCGTTTTCTGATAAATAATTTATATTTTTATTTTATGATGCAGTATTTATGCATTCATTTGAATGTGTACGGTCATTAGGCCTTTTTGCCACCTCTATTTAAGTTAAGAGTGTATTTACTGTCTGTGAGGTTTATCTTTGACTCAACAAACTATATAAACACGCCTTGTAATAATATTATGTGTACATAAAATGTGTGAATATATTTTTCACTGGAGGGTAAAACAGCAGTTGAGTTTTGAAGCAACTCTTTGAATCTGTTGTGTTGTGGTTGTGCAGGTCGCTGCAGGTGTGTAACATTTGATTCCTGTTTTTTCCATTGCCAGCTAATTAGAGGCCTATCTGGAATTCAACAGTTCAGCTTTAATTCAATTACATCTACTCTTATGGGACGCATGATTCTAATTGAGTAGTATACATATTTTCTATTTCCTTATATTTCCAAATACAGCCTATAGAATTGACTGCATCAATAAAAAAGAGAGTTCAATCGCATTAATTAGAGATATTCTTGTGTATCTAGAGACACTTCAGCTGACACACTTAAAACCTGTAAATCAACACTCTGTCCTTGATAGTTTCGGGAACTTCACAACGCCAGTGAGGAGTAAGATGCAGTATGGCTGACAAATAAATCATCAGAATGAAACTAAGATTTGAATCATGACATCATTTCAATTGACTCTCAGTAATCACGAGCCTGTATGAGTGACAACCTGTTTTCTTAAAATAGAAACCAGAGGGGGGATTTTCCATCCATGTGCACCCTGGGCCTCCATATGTTTTATTCATACGCGCCCTTATAACCTTCATATAATGTAATTTGGCTGCTGCTTTGGGGCCGCACCCTTAACAAGGTCTGGAGAAAAAAGGAAAAAAAAAAAGAGAAAAGAAAAAAGAGAAAGCTCGTCAATTGGCCTCCTCTCTCAGTCGTCACTCAGCAGCGACCCGCCCCCGCCTTGTTCTCTCCGGGCAGCAGACGTATATAAACGCAGAGCTCCCGTCCCCCCTCCACGCCAGCTTACCCAGTAACATCACCATACGACCACCATCATTACGCGGAGCTGTGGATGATGGGAGGGCGCACAGGCTCCCCGGTCCCTGAAAGAAAAAGCCCAAACATCACCTGTTGTTCCCCGACGACAAACGGTGAGTGCACCACTCGTGCCGGAGGGTTTGTGGAGGGGGCGCAGGGCTGGTTATTTCTGCAGGATGTCAATATGTTTGCGATGCTTCTTTCACAAGAAATGACAAATATGATGAAGCACAAAGCCTTCGATGGAAGATAAGAGAAATAGAAATGGAAATGAAATGCCAGCCTCTTCCTCCTCTTCCTGCCTCGCCTAAAGGTGGTGATGGTGCTGCCGGAGGAGAGGGGAGGGGAGGGGGGGTGAATGTTTATCATGACATGTTGCTGTGATTTGACAGAAAATGTGACTGAGCTTTGACTCCAGATCAGCAGCAGCACCAGCGACACAAGATGCATGTCGCACATCAGAGGTCATCATGGCTTTAAAATCTCCAGAGAGAAAACTTCGGTGCAGCAACAGGTGGCCTGTTTTTTTTTTTTTTTCTTCGCGGGCCGGAGTCGAGATGCTGAGGAGGAGATGGACGCGGAGGAAAAAAGTAGGGCGTCATTCAGCACCGACGCGCTGGACAGCTCCCTGCACGTCGAGGGCTGCCCACTTTCATTTAAAGCTGCGATCAAACACGTTTATGTGCTT